GGCTGGAGCTGGTCGTATCTTGAAAAATTCGTAAGGAGGGGCGTTCGTAACTAGAGGTACCGCTGTATTTTCTGCGTAGTGCATATATTTAATTTTTTTAGCCAGGCATGTTGGCTTTCTTTAAAGAAGGCACAAAATAAATTGTTGAATTACAAATACTCATGGTTGGCCTCATATAAAAAGCAACACTATGAGTCATGAAGCCTTAGAGGTCTACCTTCGGTGCTGCTTGATTATTAAGTAGTGGCAAAGAATAAAGTGACGCAGGATCTAAAAGAGTCTGTCCAAAGACCAGCAAGTGCATGAATGTCTCACTGACCTTGGTTCTATAAGCTGCCCTTTAGATAACGTTATGTGTGCAGGTACTATAGATCTGTGGAATCTTCCTCTCAGTTCTCAATCTTCCTGCAGAATATTATCCTGTGCTGGACATGTTTTTGAGTGTGAAGGATAAAACAACACCATTACCTGAGTCCTGACATACAGAATGATCCAATTAGCATTCTATCTAACCCTCTCAGGGATGGAGTCATAAACAGTATAAAGAAAAACTCAATTTTTCTCTGTGATTATGGTTACAATCTAAGATACTGGTAGGAAAGATCAATTCAGGTGGTTGATGAACTATGTATCTACTGATAGAATTATATTATAAGAATTAAAAGCTACATATGTCCACAGCCTTAGTCCTGTTTGAAAAAGTAGAAACTTCTTGAGTCTTGAATAAAGCAGCTTCTCCTTTTTATGGTGTGCCATCAACCCTGATGTCAAATAGGGACAAATAAGGAGTTGTATGCAGGTAAAGCCCTATGGGACCTAGACAGACTTCTCAAATGGTTTCCCTGCAAAAGTGAGATTGCTCAGCATTAAACCACCTTTCATGCTCTGGAAATTGAAGATGGGTAGAAGAAGTGGTGGAGGAAGTCATATAGCTGCTGCTTCCCTGTTGCCACCATAGCAAGGATCCTAAGGTGTTCTCCTTTCCTGCTTGAAGAAAGGAGGAAGAGGCGACTGATGAAGCAACAACTAACTTGGAAGTGGCATTGGAGAAGTAGATGGTGTAACAGCAATACCTCTTTCACCTTTTGCTCCCTCCTTTTGCACTGCTCCACCATTGTGGTAAGTATAGCATATATAGGCTACAAAAATCCAATCACTAGATCAGTGTTTCTCAAGCTGCCACAGTTGAGAAACACTGCACTAGATAGTTTCAAAGAGAGAGCTTCCTGTACCACTTTGGTGCCATCTGGAATTACTGCAATTCTTGCAGCCTAGATATGTTATGCCTTGTTATGGCTCCTCTGAGGACCCCATGTTATCAGTTTTTTTTAATTAAAAAAAAAAAGGTACAAAGCAAGGAGTGAGGCAAGTGGGTGCTCATTTACTGATCCTTGCCTATATTCTCTGATTGGTCAGCTGACAAGAGCACTGATTGGCATATGATATTCTCAGTGTTTTATGGTAGGCAGAAGTGAAGACGATCATAAGTTGACATCAGAAAATGAGGACTGGGGAGTAGATATGGCAGAATAAAACGCTGATGCAGAAGTGCTCATATTGTTTGTAGAAGTCTTAATTGTAATGCCCCTTTATCAAATATTACATTCCTCTTTTTCTTCTTTATTACATAAGGAATATGTTGTAATGCAGAAGTTACATAAGCAAGCTCTTATCTTTTCCCCAAATGCTAATTTGTAAAGACATTGTTTTGATATAGTTGTAATTGTGAGTTATAACACAGCACTTTCATTTTTTAAGGGAGAGATTTTTTGTCACAAATGGGAAAACTAAATGCAGTTGGTGAGTACAATATGAATAGATATTGTATCACTCTTAAGGATCTGGAATTACCTTAGTTATATCTTGTACATGTCCTTGGTAAAAAAATGGAGAAATCAATTGTATACCAAATATAACCTACAAAGATTGTCAGTCAAGCATCTACTAGGCGTATAATCTTGTCTATAAAAAAATTCCATGATTGAAATTAAGACTGTCAGTCACCATGCAAGTAAATCATGCAGACCTACATCACTGTTTTATTTTCCCGTTAGTCCTATTCCTGTTCAGCAATATTTAACAGTGTAGGCAACCACAAGCAATTATTTCTGTGTGGGATTCAGATGTGACAAAACCAAGTTGTACTTTTTCAGTCAGACATCCTTCACTTTAGTTGCTATTCATCATTAATCATCACTGAATACTTTACTTGTGTTAAATAGTTAACTACTGTACCATGCTTTCTACCTAGATAATATCAAGCAGATACCTTTAATGTTTTCATCATCAAGACGTACACAGTTCCAGTGGTAAAAGCAATGTAGCAGCAATGACAAACCACTCCAATAGAGTCTTTAACAAGTATACTACTTACCTTCAGTCACAACTTCTAAATATCACCCCACTTTTACAATTTTAACATGAATGACACCGTGCAACAATAATAGAGGCAGAAGTCCTGTTATATTGCCAAGTGTACTACTATATGTATCACCACTCTAGGTCAGCCACTGATACCTGTAGCCCAGAGCACTAGGGCTTTCTTCACAGATTTAGATTTCTTAATAGCTAAAATTGTAGTTTATGCAAACTACATATTCTTTTCCAAGGGTAAGGTTTAGGGCCACAAGGAGAAATAAATTTGTAGTAAAGATGATATAAATCTGTTAGCTTTGCTAAATTTTCAAACTGAACATTGATGGGCAGCAACTTCATTTAGAATTCAGCTCATTTTTACCCTTATGTACTTATGGTGAGAAAAGAGACATATGTAAATACTATATGTTGGATATTATGGATTTTATTTCAGTTATGGACATCAGTGTATCAGAAACTCAACTTTGCATCAGTGTGGAAGTATGCAGGATACATTTACCACCACCTGAGGTACAAAAATAATATAACTTTTTACATTTACATTTTATGAGGCTTTGTTGAATTTCAAACTTGTGATTGTACATCTAGGGCTACTTAAGATTCTTTTACAAAATGGAACAATCAATAGTTGTTAAACAATTCATCTCTCTGTTCTCTCTCTCTCTTTCTCCCCTTTTCTCCAAACCATATTTTTTCTTGTGTTCTAAACAATGTATGTAGATATTTACAAATTTTGTCTAAATAATGTATGTAGATATTTACAAATTTTGTTTCTTTATTATTCTCGTTGGGTGAACATTTGCCAAGAAAACAAAGTGTTTTTATATTTTTTTATATATAGTTTATTCATACCTCTCAGGTGCATACAAAGATTTATCAGGTGCAATTTTCATCTTACTTGAAGGAATATATTGGGGATTTCTGATATATCACTGAAATTTTAAAATACTGGTATTCAGGTATTGAGAGAGCCAGTTAGGTGTAGTGGTTAAGGCACCAGGCCAGAAATCAGGAGACCATGAGTTCTAGTTCCGCCTTAGGCACACAGCCAGCTGGGTGACTTTAGGCCAGTTACTCTCTCTCAGCCCTAGGAAGCAGGCAATGGCAAATCACTTCTGGAAACATTGCCAAGAACATTGCAGGGACTAGTCCAGGCAGTCACCAGGAGTCAACACTGATTCAAAGACACCGCCCCCCAAAAATAATCTATTGGGTCATGATGACCTACAGTCTGGATTTACTGGTCATTTTTAATTCATTAGAGTTTTTTTTAAAAAAGAAGGAAAGTTGGGTACATAAATTAAAAAATACATTTTTCTTTTAGTGCTGTAATTTATTTTAAATATGTATTTTGTTGTAGTAAATTTTAAGTCACACATTCTTATTAACGTTAAGGATAATTTCGAACTCTGGAAAGATTTAAGATGACTGCTTTATATTAAACATTTTTTTTTTTT